ATCTTTATACTAGTGTTTTTAACTCTGTGTCTGATAGTTGGTTATCTCTGTTTCGCTTAGTTCTTTTTCTGGGGTTTTGATCTGTTCTTTCATTTGCACCGTGTTTCTTTGTCCCTTCAATTTGGCAGCCTCCTGTGTTTGTTTCTGTATATTAGGTAGAGCTGCTTTGACTCCCTGCCTTGGTGCACCTGCTACGTTGTAAGGGGCAGAACCTTAGGTATTCACAAAGAGGAGGCAACCATCTTCACCACTATGTGACAGTGCACATGGGGGAGGGGTCAGAAAGGGAACAATGCTGCTTGCTTAGCACTCACCCCATTTCCAGTCACTTCACCCACTTCCCAAATGCTACTGGCACCCCTCTAGCTATTGCCTTGTGGAGGTTCCCAGGCTGGGTCAGTTTGAGTAAGTTCTAGGATGGTGGGGGCCTTTTAAATGGACTCTCCTGAGAGACCAGCAGTTTCTTCCACTGCTCCAACCGCCACTGGTTTTTACAGCCAGAAGTTATGAGGCTTTATCATCCTGGTGTTGGAACACTGGGCTGCCCAGTATGGCCTGGGGCTGAGATTGTTCCTTCCCCAAGTGTCCCTCCTGACTTTTATCCACCACACATGAATGTGGGGCCACACATCCTGCCAGCCACTGCTACCATCTAGCCACTGCCACACCGCATCATCTCCAACCCAGCACCCCGTCTCTGCCCCTCCTGCCCATCTGGATGAATGTTTCTTCTTGACCTTCTTAGTTGTTAGACTTCCACACAATTTAATTTTCTGGCAGCTCTGGTTGTTTTTGTTTTGAGGTTAGCTGTGATCCTTCCTATGGTTGTGCGAGAAGGTGAAGCATGTCCACCTATACCTCCATCTTGGCCAGAACTTAATTTCTCTTTCTGATAGTTCATGGTTATTGTATAGGAATACAACAGATTTCTGTGTAATAATTTTACTGCAACTTAATTTGTGCAACTTTACTGACTTTATTAGTTCTAATGATTTTTTGGTGGAGTCTTTAAGGTTTCCTATAAATAGTATCATGTCATCACCAAACAGGGACTGTTTTACTTCTTCCTTTCCCATTTGGATGCCTTTTATTTCTTTTTTTGTCTGATTGCAGTGTCTTGGACTTCCAAAACTATGTTGAAGAAAAACAGTGAGTGGGCATCCGTGCCTTGTTCCTAATCTTAGAGGAAAAGCCTTGAGGTTTTTCACCATTGAGTATGTGGATTTGTCACATATGGCTCATATTATGGTGAGGTATATTTCCTTTATACCCACTTCATTGAGAGTTTTTATCATAAATGGCTGTTGAATTTTATCAAGTGCTATTCCTGCATCTGTTGAGATCATATGAGTTTTATCCTTCATTCTGTAAATATGTATCATAATGGTTATTTGTGGATATTGAACTGACCTCACCTCCCTGGAATAAATCCCTCTTGATCATGGTGTATGATCCTTTTAATGTATTGTAGAATTTGATTTGCTAATATATTGTTGAAGATTTTTGCATCTAAGTTCATCAGAGATATTTGGCTGATAATTATCTTTTTCTGGTTTGGGTATCAGGGTAATGCTAGCCTCACAGAATGTCTTTAGAAGTATTCCTTTCTCTTCAATATTTTGGAATAATGTGGGAAGAATAGATATCAACTCTTCTTTAAATGTTTGGCAGAATTCATCTGTAAAACCTTGTAGTCCTGGATTTTGACTTATTGGGAGTTTTTAGATTACGAACTCAATTTCATTACTAATAGTTGGTCTGTTGAGATTTTCTATATCTTCCTGAGTCAGTCTTAGAACATTTTTTATTTCTAGAAATTTGTTAATTTCTTCTAGGTTGTTGAGTTTATTGCTGTATAATGTTCATAGTAATCTCTGTGATTCTGTGTGTTTTTGAGGTGTCTGTTTTTATTTCTCTTTCATGTCTGATTTTATCTATCTGGTGCCTCTCTTTTTCTTGGTGAGTCTGGCTAAAAGTTTATCAATTTTGTTTGTCTTTCCAAAGAACTTATTGTTAGTTTCCTTGATCTTTTTTATTATTTTATTTTAGTCTCTATTTCATTTATTTCTACTCTGACCTTTATAACTTTCTTCTTTTTACTTACTTTGGGTTTTATTCTTTTTCTAGTTCCTTTAAAAGTAAAGAAAAGTTGTTTATTTAGGATGTTTCTTGTTTCTTGAGGTAGGCCTATATCACTGTAAACTTCCCTTTTAGAATTACTTTTGCTACATCCCACATATTTTGGAACATTGTGTTTCCATTTGTATGTGTCTCAGCGTATTTTTTATTTCCTCTTTGATTTCTTCTTTGACACATGGGTTTTTTAGTTGCACATTGTTTAGCCTCCAAGTGTTTGTCTTTTTTCAGTTTTCTTCTTATAACTGATTTCTAGTTTTATATTGTTGTGGTCACAAAAGATGCTTGATATAATTGTCTTAAATTTGTTTAGACTTTCTTTATGATCTAACACGTAATCTATCCTGGAGAATGTTTCATGTGCACTTGAAAAGAATGTATATTCTGCTGTTTTGGATGGAACATTGTCTATCTATTAATTCTAATTTGTATAATGCAACATTTTATTTTATTCAAATGAAAGTATATATATTTTCTAAACAGCAGAATTTTAACTTTTTATTTTATTTTGGAGAGAGTGGAAAGGGAAGGGGAAAGAGAGGCAAAGAAACATCAATGTGAGAGAGAAACATCAATCAGTTGCCTCTCATAAGGGCCCCTACTGGGGACTGAACCCACAACCCAGGCATGTGCCCTGACTGGGAATTGAACCTGCAACCTTTCACTTTGTGAGACAACGCCCAAACAACTGAGCCACACCAATCAGGACTACTATGTCTGTTAATATTTGCTTTGTGTATTTAGTTGCTTCTCTACTGGTTACATAGGTATTTACACGTGTTAGGTCCTCTTATTGGCTTGATCCCTTTATCATTATGTAAGGCCTTTCTCGATCTCTTTTTCAGTCTTAGTTTTAAAGTCTATTTTGTCTAATGTAAGTATTGTTACCCCAGCATTCTTTTTATTTCCATTTGCATGGAATGTATTTTCCATCCCCTAACCTTCAGTCTGTGGGTGTCTTTAGATCTAAACCAAGCCTCTTATAGGCAGTAATATGTATGTGTCTTGATTTTTTTATCCATTTAGCCACCCTATGTCTTTTGATTAGAACATTTACTTTTAAAGTAATTATTGATAGATATGTACTTACTTCATAAATGTTCTTTAAATCATCTCTTCCTGCCCTGGCTGGTGTGGCTTAGTGGATTCAGCACAGGCCTGCGAACCAAAGGGTCACCAGTTCGATTCCCAGTCAGGGCACATGCCTGGGTTGCAGGCCAGGTCCTTGGTAGGGGGTGTGTGAGATCAGGCAACCACATATTAATGTTTCTCTCCCTCCCTTCTCCTCTGTCTAAAAATAAATAAAATCTTTTTTAAAGACTTGCTCTTAAAAATAAATAAATAAGTCATCTCTTACTTACATTTCCACTGTCAACAGATCTCATAATGCACCCTTGGGCCAGTATAATCATTGTTTCCCTGTCTCTAGAACAGACAGTTATAACACTGGGTACTTGTCAGATAGAGCAACTGCTCTACAGAGCTAATAGTGTAGATAGAAGCCAGTGGATTGTAAAGCTGCTGGCCTCCTTCCCTGTCAGAGGGCAGTTTGTTGTTGGGTCTCACAGAATGAGGTTAGGGAAACAAACCATCCAATATAAAATAGCCATCTAGTTACTTCCTGTCATTTACTCCCATTTTAATGTTCTGCAAAATGCTTTCTGTTACCCTTTACTGTTACTGTTGTTGTTTATTTTCACAGTTCCCCCTTCCCACCCTCTACCTGAATGTAAATAAGGTTTTTGTCTTGCAAGAAAACTGTGGCACATGGTAGACAATTTGGAACAGTTATTGATGAATTAGTAAGTGTGTGAATGACTCTGTCTTTTCCTCAAGACTAATTTTCTCTCCTGCAGCCTAAATTAGGTAGATGTTACTGTGAAACATGAATTAAGAAGTTTATCAACTGATTCTTAAGGAGGAAATGTCACCCTTCTTTCTTTTTTTTTTAATCTTTACCCAAGGATATGTTTATTGAGTTGAGAGAGAGAGAGACATCAATGTAAAAAAGAAACATCAATGGGTTGCCTCCCATTTGCACCCCATCCAGGGATTGAACCCACAACCTAGATATGTGCCCTGACCAGGAATCAAACCTGCAACCTTTTTGATGTAAGGGACAACACTCCAATCAACTGAACCACCCAGCCAGGACAACCTTATTTCTTTAGTTCAGGAAAACTTCATAGAGAAGGAGACGGAGGTTCAGAACCATAAGTGGAAAAATAATAGCTAACAGTGTTATTTAAGTAAAGAAATTAATTAGCTTTGACATTTCCTCCATGCTTTCTGCTGCATTCATTTTCATGTGTAAGGGAGCTAATGTAAAGCTTCAGGGATAAGTTTTGTATGCAGTGCAGAAGACTAGGTATCTTTAGGACTTCATTGAATCAGACTCTTTCATGTCTCTGAGACATTTGAGGATATTGTAAAAGAACTTGAAGGCAGAATGTATAAAAGCATATATTTTGACACCAGAATACCTAGGTTTGAATACTGGTTCTACCATTTATTTGCAGAGTAACCTTGGGCAATTTTCTTGTTTTCTGCATACACGTATAATAATGAAATACCTACCTAAAATAGTTGTTATGAGGAGTACAATTTTAAAGTGAGATTTTGCAACAGTGCCATATTTATTTTAAGTGCTAGGTAAGTATGCAATATTATGGCTATTCCTTATTCAGACTTACTGTTAGCTATAAGAACTTTCTTACAGTGAGATGACTGTAGTTGAGCAGAAGTAATATCTGGTTTTAAAAGCAAAGCAATTTATGCGGTTTCTTAAGTATAAATTATCTGTGTGAGAAATATGCTAATATTAACTGTACCAATTGTGTCATTATGTTCCATTTAACTTTCAGGAGGATCCTCATTGACACTGGAGAACCAGCTATTCCAGAATATATGACCTGTTTAAAGCAGGCTTTGAACGAATTCAACACAGCAATCCAGGAAATCATAGTGACTCATTGGCATCCTGATCATACTGGAGGCATAAGGGATATTTGTAAAAACATTAAGAATGGTAAACAGAATACATTCATTAAGCTCATTGAGGAAAACTGTTGTTTTGAGAATAATTTGTTTCTGTTATAAGCTAATAAGCCGTTTACTAAATATCTTATTATTTTAAGATTTTGTTTATTTAATTTTAGAGAGAGGGGACGGGAAGGATAGAGAGGGAGAGAAACTTCAATCTCAGGTGCTTCTCGCATGCCCCCAGTCTGAGACCTGGCCCAAAACCCAAGGGTGCGCCCTGACTGGGAATCAAACTGGTGACCTTTTGGTTTGCAGGACAACGCCCAACCCACTGAGCCATACCAGCCAGAGCTGTATACCTCATGTTTAAATGCTACTTTTAGAAATTAATATAAGAAAAACAGAAAACTTTTGCCCTGGCTGGCATAGCTCAGTGGATTGAGCGCGGGCGGCAAACCAAAGTGTCGCAGGTTCCATTCTCAGTCAGGGTACATGCCTGGGTTGCAGGCCATGACCCCCAGCAACTGCACATTGATGTTTCTCTCTCTCTCTCTCTCTTTCTTTCTCCCTCCCTTCCCTCTCTAAAAATAAACAAATAAAATCTTTAAAAAAAAAGAAAAACAGAAAACTTTTAAGTAACAAAGTTACTTATTTTAACTTTGTTAAAACTGTGCCCATTTTTAACAAAGGAAAAAATGTAAAAGTCCTATTTTCTATTTCAAATTTCTTCTCCCTCTTATTTTTCCCCTTTGCCCAGTGATAAAGATCAATTTTAATTTAGTCTGTGTGACAGTTACTACCTCAGATTTCATAGTAACTAACCACTGTTGAGCGTTTACTGTGTGCCAGATGCTGTGCTATACACTTTACCCATGTACTTGAGGTAGTCACTGTTACTGTCCGCATTCTAAACATTATCTCAGGTCTTCCATAACTTTAAGGCAGTTACTCTGATATACTAAATACTGGTGAAAGATCATTGTATAAATAACCCTCTGTTCCTGAAACCTATCCAGTACTAGTGCTTTACCATCTCTCTCCCTATTCTCTCATCCCACCATCACACACATAGATTCATTCATTCATTCATTCATTCATTCATTTCTTTAACAAATATTCAAGTTGCTGCTATATCCAAGCACTGATCTTGACACAAGGGACATAGCAACAAATAAAACAAAGACTGTGCTCTCATGGGACTTTCATTCTAGTAGGGAAGGTAAATGGTAAATAAATAGGTTAGATGGTGATAGGTGCTATGAAGAAAAAGCTAGATGAAGAAAAAGAAGAGAGAATAAAGTGGAAGAGAGCAGTAGCCATTATACCTAGGGCAGACAGGGAGAGGGAGTGAGCTGTACAGGTATTGGAGGAAGGGGTACTAGAATGTGCTAGGGGAGTGTGCTCGACATGTTCCAGGCACATGAAGGACAAGGAGGTCAAGAATGTTCATTCACAACTAATATTTTCAAGTATCTCCTTTTTAGGCCTTGAGACTACAATTGGAGCTGAAAGATATTTTTAACTACAATAGTCAGTATCACCAGGCCACTCATTATAAAAAGCTGTCCAACCTAACTTTCTTACCCCATTAACCCCTTTCTTCTAATCCAAGGGGGACTGTATGCCGTAGGAAATCATTCTCTCCGACTTTGACTTTTCCTCGCCTTTCTTCCTCTTATCTATCTACCCATTGAATTTTGTGAATTAAAAAACTATGCCAGTGCCCTGCCTGGTGTGGCTCAGTGGATCGAGTGCCGGCCTGTGAACCACAGGGTCACTGGTTCAATTCCCACTCGGGGCACATGCCTGGGTTGTGGGCTGGGTCCCAGTAGGGTGTACAACCACACATTGCTGTCTCTCTCCTTCTCATTCTCTCTCCCTCCCCATCTCTAAAAATAAATAAATAAAATTTAAAAGGCAACCACACATTAATGTGTTTCTCTCCCTCTCTCTCTAAAAATAAATAAATAAAACTCTTTTTCTTCAAAGAAAAAGAAAGAAAGAAAACTATGCTGAGCATCCTTAATTAGCTTCGCTCAGCTCTTTTAGCATGAGGGTCAATTTGGAAACTTAAAATGTTCATGGGCTGCTTTTTCTCCTTCATATATCAACTTTCTTGAGCTAGAATTTACATACATAAAATGTACCCATTTTAGGTGTGCATTTTATAAACACCTATGTGACCAGTCCAATCAAGATAAAGAACACTCACCCAAAAAGAGTCCCTTTGTGCCCCCTGAGTGATTCCTTTCCATCCCCAGCACCCACATATAATTTAAGTTATGACAAGGATCTGAGCTCACCTTAAGTTGTATTGTATTTATGAATCATTTCCTAATTGTTTCTCCTTTCTCTAAACTCATTTTGCTTTTATTAGTTTAATTGTCCATTTAGTATTCATTAAATGATACTGAGTATAGATCTTTAATTATTTTCTGCTTATAATTTTTACTTCCCCAACTACGACAATTTTAAGCACCTTTAATGTCATAGTGCTTGTGTTCACTATACTGGTTAAATAATTTGCAATCAGCTATTGATTGGTTAATGAATTGATTTTCTTTGTGTTGATGACAGGTAGTATGGGTTAAATTTATTTTAATGTTTTAATATCTTAGCCCTGGGTCTGGGACTCCCTTTCAGCATTCCCAGAAAGAGCTTTGTGTTATCATCCTTTTCCTATTAACCACTGCCATGATGTCGTGACTTCCTTTATTGTCAGGCACCTACACAGAGAGAAGTCCCTGCAATCTATATTACTCCCTCTTTAACACCCACCTTGATATCAGAGCTAACTGAGAGTATGAAGAACTTTCAAATTGTTGTATAAATAGGAGTGACTAGAAAAAACAGGCTTTTATTTAAACTTGGAAGGGCATGAAAGAGTAAAAAGCTCTTTTGTTGAGATAGAAGAAATTGTTACCATCCCAGAGATGTGCTGCTATAATTCACCCCATTTTCTGTTGTCTCTTAATGTTAGTATTTCTTGCAGCCACTCACAAGTGTTCTGTGAAAATTGGTCTCTTAAAAGGCTGAATTAGCATGTAAAGTGTGACTTAAATATTTTACATGTTTTGTCACTAGATACCACATATTGCATTAAAAAGCTCCCACGGAACCCTCAGAGAGAAGAAATTATAGGAGATGGAGAGCAACAATACGTTTATCTAAAAGATGGAGATGTGGTTAAGACTGAGGGTGCCAGTCTAAGGTACGTAAATGACCTTTGGCTGGGGAAGGCAGCGGGCAGTGGGAGGAGGCTATATATGTGTTATAAAAGGGAGGAAAAGGAAGATTTCTGCGTATTTGCTTGTATGAATGTAGACTCTCAGGAAGAAGGATATAAGGAATCTGATAACATTGGTTACTCTGGGAAAAGAAAATGGGTTACTTGACAAATGGGGAGAAAGAAAGACATCTCCTTGTATCTAACTTTAAAATTATTTGTTTAAATTATATGACTACCATTATTTAAGTTAAAATATAGATTAGTGCCCTAGCTGGTATGGCTCAGTGGGATTGAGTACCAGCCTGTGAACCAAAGAATGGCCAGCCCAATTCCAGGTCTAGAGCACATGCCTGTGTTGTGGGCCAGTCTCCTGTGAGGATGTGCAAGAGGCAACCACACATTGATGTCTCTCTGCCTCTCATACTCCCTCCCTCCCCCTCTCTAAAAATAAATAAATAAAATTTAAAACATATATTAGTGTTTCCTGCTAGGAAATGTAGGGCTTTCTCATGTTCTCACTTCCAACAGATGAACTATACCTAAATTAAATACATTTTAGTCCAGACTCATAATCCCCCATGACCTATTTTGGGATTCAAAAGTGTGTCTGACTCACTAATTTTTAAAATGAACTAATTATGATTCTCCTCTTCCCCCCCATGATTTGTCCTTGCTTTCTGATTTCAGAATATCTCCTTCTGTCAGTACTTAAGATTTTAGGTTTTTATTCTAAGATGGAAGCTGACAACTCTTCACCTTTATCACTTTCCCTCCCCTTGCCCACCACATGTAATCAGGTTAGCTTTACCTGAAAGATATTTGTCACTGCTGTCCTTTTTTCATCATGTCCACTACCACTACTTCTTGGTAATATTCCTGTCTCCAGGCTCTCCTCTTTCCAATCTATCCTTTGTATGCTCTGTCACTTGAAACCTTGAATAACTTAGTACATACAAGATAATGATCATTCTCCTTACCACTGCTTGGCCTCAAACCAGTTTTCTGGTCTTAGCTCCTACCACTCCCCCTGCAAACACAATTTAGCCATATCCAAATAGTCCTGAGCACATTCTCTCTGTTCATGCCTTTGCTCATACCCTCCCCTTTACTAGGCCTCCTCCCTCCTCCCTTACTTGTCCCCCCTGATAAATTATTATCCACTTATTCTTCAAACCTTATTTTACGTGTTACTTCAAGAACCCCTTCTGGGTGGGTGTATGAACTGCTTCTTCCTCCAACTATTAATAATTTCATTATTTCATTATAACACTTACTAAATTATATATTTTTTGGTGTGTAGGTAAGTCACTCCTTAAAAAATAATCAATTTCCTAGACTCACAACATTAGATAATGTCAGTTGCTATAGCAAACCACCCCAGAAATGTCTAACAGCTCAAATATGAAATGAGTTTACTTCTCATTCACATCAAGTCCAAAAATGGTTCCTGGTTAATGAGTGGCCCTCCTGCAAGTAATGTTTCAGAATCCTTATGGATTCCACCATCCTCAGTCGCTTTCAAGGGGCCATGCTCACCACAACCAGTCCAGCTGGGTGGAGAAAGAGCATGGAAGGGATCTTGCGTGGGCAGTTTTCATGGACCAGGCCTTGTGTTGCATTGGCTGTCAGCTCAGTCATGTGCCACTCCTGAATGTAGGGAGACTGGGAAATAGTTTAACTTCATGCTCAAAAGATAGGAAATAGGTTTGATGATAAGCTAGCCATTCTCTGACATAGGCAGATACAAGATTCACCTTCACATCTTCAGTCCCTGTCACATAGAAGGCAGTGAACATTTATAGTCCATGTAATAAATATCTACAAAGAGGCAAGTAGATTAACAGGTGAATGAGAGAGGAAATGAAGTAATGGGTATCCATGCTCCCTTTCAAACCAGTCTCCTCTTTTTTCCATTATGCCAGTGATTCCTAAAATTTAATTCATAAACCAACTAATTTTCTAGGTGCTTTTGTTCAAAATATGATAGTGTCTTATATAATTTGCTGATGATACCACAGAAAATCAAACAATTACTTTACTACTTCTTGGGAAAATATTCTTGACAATACTGAATGTTCCCCATCACACACCAGCCCTAGGCCAAGTTACAAAAAGAGGTGGAGACAGGAGGTAGTTCATGGAGTCTTCTGTCTCAGAGGTTTGAGAACCACAGTACTGGTTTATCAGTTATCACAAAAGCATGGATATTAGATCCATACCTAATGTGCAGATTAAGGCTATTTGGCCCTTAGAAGTTAACCACCCATCTGCCGTGAACAGAACACATTAAGCTTTTAAAATAAATAAACAGCAAAGTGTATGAATCACCAGTGTGCAAGGCAGTGAATTGTTACAAACTAAACAAACCCTATGAGCAACCTGCAGATCTAGAAATATCTGTGCCCCAGAGCCACCCACGCACTTGCTTCCTGTCACGACCCCACCCCCTCAGTTGAATCCTATCTTGTTTCATGGATTGACTTGATGCCAAGGATCTCAATATTATGTGAACTCCATTTCATTTTTGTTTTACCACATTCTCATTAAGTATGGGAATCTATTTTAAGATTTGAAAAAGAAACTAACACAAAGAATCCAAAAAAAGACACGTTTTTTAAAATGACTTAGTAAATAATCTTTTCTCAAAATGTAAATTCTAATTATGCTACAATCTGAATAAAACATTTACTGTTGATGTGGTTTCCAATTTCCATTTTTATCATCAGTAAAATGTATTTGTTTTAAATGTTAACAAGAAGACTCTTCATTAAGCAAAATTTACTGAAGACCCAAATAATTGATGTCCAATTGGTCTTGTCTACTTTCCAATTTTGAAAAGAAAAAAATACAATAGAGATAGACATAAAACCCACCAAGAACCCATTAGTAAAAAACAGAAAGTTAGCAAGGTTTTTCAGAAAGTTAGCAAGGTTTGGGATCTGGGATTTGGTTGTAACCCTCAGGAATTTTCTAGTGAACTAAGTTTATTTCTCAAAGTTAATCTGACAGCTTTTGTTGACTGTTCTAAATTTCTAAGAGAGCCATTCTTATAAAGTCTACTGTTCACAGAAGTGGCAGAACTAGACAAATGCTCCACCTGATGAATCTTCAGCCAGGCACCTCTGATGTCATTTCCTTTTCTCCACTTGCGGACCATGAAGTGACTGAGAACACAGTTGTTATACAAATTAAAGCATTAGCCACCCAGGTGACTGGAAGATTGGAAATTCTGATCCCCTAATTTAAGAAATCTTACTGCTTTTGGCCTAGGTTAGAAAATCTCAAGGAAACCCATTACTGAGTTCTGGCATAGGAGTGGGAGGGAAATAATTAAGGAGGCATTGCAAGCACATTGGTGGACAAGACAGTTTGCAGACTGAAAGAATAGTTCTCCGAGTAAGTTTTTGTAGATTAAAAAAAAAAAGATTGAGGTTCCATTTGTAAACACATTCTGTGTGTGACTGTTCATAAGATAAGGCAGACACCCATACCACATATTTTTATAGCTGCTGGAGATACACTTCCTCAAATTATTTTCATATAACATGGAATACTTTCATTAACTGGTTGCAGCAGGTTTGATCAGACAAAAGAGATTATTTCTAACATCTCTGTAATATCTCACCATTACTAAATATAGTAATCATTTGCAATATGTAAAGCATATACTTGGAAACCATAAAAGCACAATAGCTCCTACAATCAGTTGGTAATGCCTCTCAATAGTAATTGCTCCCATTACTCTTAAAACTTGTATCTCTTACATTTTTAGCAGATTCTTTAAAAAGGCTGTACAGTTTCAGTATTTAGCATTGAGCATTTGATTGGGTTTTTGGCAAATGAAAAGCTCTTCTAAGTTATAGTCATTTCAGTTTTTTTAAATACTGAAATGTATTTTCTTCAAAAGCTGAATTTTGTCATGTCTTTACAGTATCTAGGAGATGACCCCACTAGCTTTCTCCATATTTTTATTATGATTTGCACTGGTCTCATAATACTGAAACACCCTGGCATTTTTTGAATAAACTTTATTTGGTCATGATGTTATCTTTTAAAATATGCTTTTGGATTCTATTTATTAATATTTTAGTTAAGATTTTCATAACAAATTAGTGGGATCAGGCAGTAGTTTTTTTTGTGCAACCTTTTTGTGCAGTCAGATTTGGGATTTGTAAGTTCTCCTTTTTTTATGCTCTGGGATAGATTAAGTAGTAGTACAATTATCTGACTTAAATGTTTGATAGAGTTATCCAGTGACAGTACTGACCCTTTAGTTGCTAATGACATTTACATGCCCTTTTAATGGAGATTCATTGTTGCTTATTAGTAATATGGTCCTGTAAGTTAAACTCACCTTAAATAACTTTAGCTTATTTCTGTGAATGTCCCACTTCCCGACAACCTTTCATCCAGTGATTTTAGCACATATTAATGACACTTGCCTTAATCAATTAATATATTGAAGGTGGCATGATTGTGACTTTCATTATTCTATTTCTTCTACTTTCTTTTTGTTTTTTTCCTTCACTCTCATTCTTCTTTACATTCTTTACATTCTTCTTAAAGAAGAGATTCCCCCTGCCTCTTGTTTGAGTTATTACTGCAGACTTATATTCTTTTATTCAGTGCTGCTTTGTCCTTTTGACACATTCCCCCTAATCTATTAACACCTTCTTGCTGACTGACACAGGATGATGTCTCAGTGCCAGGACTTACTCCCCCGGCCCAGGACCCGGAGCCAGCATGTCTGTAAGAAACCCGGGTTTCTTTGAGTGGGAAATGGTATCAGAAACAAAGAACTGAGTGCGAGGCATGCTCATTACTACTGGAGTATCATCGCTTCTGGGGCTTTTTATAGACAGAGCTAGAAAAAAACCTGTGAATTCATGATTCTTCAGTTCAAATAAGAAACACCCCAAAATGTAAATCCCTGGTTCTATATATATTTTTTTTCCTTATCCCACAATGAAAAACTTGGTTCTTGACATCAATTTATTTATTTGTTTGAACTAGCATATAATAAACACAAAATAGTTTCAGAAACACACTAATAACTCTGCCAACATGAAACCTACTAAGTAAAGTTCAAGATATCTTTGCAATTCTTTTGATCTTAAGATATATTCCATTAAGAATGCACAGTATTAGTATTATATGTAAAACATTTGAATTAATTTATTTTACTGTGGCTATGTTATGTATCTAGTGTACAGTAAGATTTACCTCTTTCTGTATTCAGTGTTAAGGTTTTTTTTATTTCTATCTAATTTTATATTTAGAATATATAAAATATTTGCATAGTTTAAAAGTTCAAACTACTAAAAAAGTTCTAATGAGAAAAGTCTTGCTTGCCCCTCTGTTCCCTACACCCCACTTGCCTACCCCCTATAGGCAACTGTATTTATTAGTTTTTGATTTATCCTTCCTGACTTTCTTTTTCTTTTTTTGCAAAAATAAAAAATACATACATGTATGTTTTACATTCCCCATCTTTTATATATGAAAGAGCACACTATGTATACTCTTTGGTGTTTTGTTTTTTATCACTTGACAGTATATCCTACAAATTACTCTATATATCAGTTCATAGAGATCTTCCTCATTCTTTTTGATGGTTGTATAGTATTTCACTGGGTAGCTATACCATCATTTATCCAGAATGCCCTGTGGATCAGCATTGGGTGGTTGCTAATGTTTTGTTATTGCAAATAATGTATTGAATAACTTATGTGGATTTTTTGTATATGCGAAGGTGTATTTGGGAGTAAATTTCTAGCAGTGGGATTGATGAGTCAAAGGATGCTCTTTTGCTACAGAATGTCAGATTCCCCTTTATATGAGTTATACCTTTCTGCTTACCCACCAAAAAAATATAAAGGTGCTTTTTTAAATATAGTTTTGCCATAAAGTGTATTATCAGATGTCCTTCCTGACATGCAAAGAAAATTGAAAAAAATGTGTGTTCTTAAAAACTGAAAGCACTATCTCTAAGTAGTGGAAAGATTGGTGATTTGTATCTACCTCAAGTACTTTTCTGTTTTCCAAAATTGTTGTAATCAGTATTTATTACTTATAAAATAAGAAAAAAATGAGAAATGCATTAAATATATACTAAAGAATGAAAAAATGATTTTGTTAAAGAAGAGAAATTTCTGGTGATAATTTTCAGTGGACAACAAGAGAAAAAGGAGTTTTTTAACTCAGTGACATTATTTATTTGTGTCTTGTCCAGAAGTAAGGATGGAGAATGATTTGCTTCTCAAGATTTCTCCTAAGCTTAAAAGTTTATAATTGTTTTTATTTCTTCTTTTGCCCAGAGTTATATACACACCTGGCCACACTGATGATCATATGGCTCTGCTTTTAGAGGAGGAAAATGCTCTCTTTTCTGGAGATTGCATCCTAGGGGAAGGAACAGCTGTATTTGAAGACCTCTATGATTATATGAACTCTCTAAAAAAGTTATTGACAATCAAAGCTAATATTATATATCCAGGTGAGTAATTTTTTAAATCTGATAAACCATTTCTGTCAAATGAGGAAGGTTCATTTTGGTTTGTGTGTGTGCATGTTGTGTGTTTTTGGCCTTCAAGAGAAACATGTAAACTACTTCTTTAAATTACATCCCTAAGTCCTGTCTAGCCATGTAATTTTTTAAAAGGCCAGCAGTTACATTAATAACATCTAATGTCTTGTAAACATAAAAGGATTCTTTTTCAATATCTAAACAACTATTAAACAAGTGAAATAACTTACATTTAAACAAGAAAATTTTTTCATTCCATAAGCGGTCTTCAGTCTTGTTAACTTGATTTCTTTTGTGGACCACATACTAGCCGTGTAACCAGGGGTAACATTTGACCTCTGAGCTTTAATTGTTTTAACTCACACTATTGAAATATCAGTAGCTTCCGTATGAACTGTAAAATCCTGTATTTATTTTGATTCTCTAGAAAAAGAAACCTGTTGTTAGTATCTCAACTATCACTGCGCTGCTCTGCAATATGAATCACCCCACCATCCTGGAAGCTAAGAAACATCCTGGACACAACAATAGGGCCCAGAAGGGAAAAGAGACTAGTTTACTAATTTTTGAAGTCCTTCTAACTTGTTCCTAACCAAAGAGTTATGGAAAGATCCATAAATACAGTATCTTTAATACCCTCATTTTCTTTCATGAGTTTCTACTTCTGTGGGGGGTAGGAAACATACCCTGGGCATTTGGATTAATATTATGACATAAAAAGAATGGAAACTGACAGCTCTTTTTAAAGCAAAGAGAATAGGTGTTTGATGCACTCACATTCAAGCAAAGCTAATGAGAGGCTGCCCACTAAAGGCTCTTAGCTTTAAAGCTAGAGTGTTAGCTTTAGTGAATCCCATGAACTGGCTTATTAGCACAGCAGGAGCATCTATGTAAATTATGTTCTGTAGCCATAGCTACCATATATTAAAGCCTGCTACCCATCAGGCACCTGCGGGGACATTTACAGCTAGCTAGCTGTGTCCTCACAAAAAGCCAATGAAGTAAGGAGTGGTATCCTCATTGAACAGCTGAAGAAACAGCTCAGAGACTGTCACAGCTACACAGTTAAGAAATGATGGTCGGTACTCTAACCAAAGCCTATGCTTGTTACATGATAATAGGTCAGCATGCTTCTGGATATTTTGTTCTCAACTAAACATGCCTCTGGCAAATTTGTGTAATATTAATTTTCACTGTGTTAAAGAGCATGTAAATTTCAATATAACTTTATTTGGGTTGTCAACATTTCTGAGCTGCAAGTCTATACATAAAATTTTTCAAGTTCTACTGTGGTTCCCGTGAATTTTTGATAGGTCTTGGTCACTTACATGAAGCTACTTTTACATTCCCTTTTTCAATCTTTTATAAGTAAGTGTAGCACAGTGGTAAGAGCCTAGAGTCATAAAAAGCTCCTGAGTCAGAATCCCAGCTCCACTCTTGAGCTGTGATACTGTGAGCAGATTATTTACCCTCCTTATTCCTCAGTTTCTGCTGCTAAAAAGGGGTAATAGTAGTGCCAACCTCTTGGGATTCTTATAAAGGTAATGTATAGCATTTAGAGCAGTGCCTAGCAAGTAATAGGTGCTCTATAACTATTACTTATCATTACTGTTCTGATTCCTGTTGTTATTGCTATATTTTTATTTTATACTTTTTAATGTACACAATAATATTTTTATAGATTTTGATATAATTGTCTAATGTTTTGTGTCATATCTGTATAGTTTTCCAAATAATTCTTATTTGTTGTATATGTAGTATTCTGTTTCAGTATATCATATGGATTGTTTTTAGAGTGAATTAATTTCAGTTATACTTACTATTTTTCTCTGGTTGAAATAATTTTTATAATTGTTCTAATTCAGGACATGGCCCAGTAATCCATGATGCTGAAGCTAAAATTCAAGAATACATTTCTCACAGAAATATTCGAGAAAAGCAAATTCTTACAGTATTACGTGATAATTCCGAAAAATCATTTACAGTAACAGAGCTTGTAAAAATTATTTACCAGGTAATTTTTGTTTAGCTTCTTTGTACATAGCCACAATTTTATTAGAATAATCTGTTTACTAAGCTATAGATACAGTAAACTTATCACCTCCCAAAACACTGTTAATTTTATAAATAATGCCACCCATATAGATTTGAAACCAGCAACCTCAACTTTCTAGAACACAGAAGTTAAACAATATCTAGCCTGGAAAACAAAAATAACCATTCTGAGCCATCATTAAACCATATACTTCATTCTGTAGGAGAGACTGTTCCCAACTACATGATGATCAAGATTTGTAATCACTTATGTATTATTCAAGCCATCTTGACTATCTGGTGTCCTAGCCTGTGGCAAGCGAGAAGAAGCAATCTGCTAGATATGTGAATGATAACAATGAGGAGTAGCAGCAGTGCCTGACTAATGGAGAAGGAACATGGAAAAGAACAGGAGTACAGAAATTTAGTGTACAGAGAGAACCCCTCACCTCAGCAGCCTCTGAGCACATCATTATATGATAGCCCTATATAGCAGTCAATTAGTGTAATTCAGTTTTTCAGTAAATATTTATTAGAAAACTGCTGTATAGGTAGTATAGCTTAGAGGTTAAGAATGTAGGCTTTGGTACTAGATTAAATGGGTTTAAAAACTCTCACTACCACAACCTATATAGCCAGAAGAAACATGAGAGAGTAACAAAAGATGAGCATGAAAAGGTACCTGGGGCCAATTAAATTAGTAAGGGACCTTAATATCCTATAGGTCCAGATAGCAGAAGACAGTCAGATCATACTCAGTATGTTTTGTCTTAATGAAGGGTTAAAATGACTAAAAGATAAAAGTTCCATTAGCAAAAGGGCAAAGTAAATTCTGTGAAAGAGTTCATTTCCTCATTATACTAGAATCAGACATTGGTTTGTTTGTTTTTTTCTATTCTAAGAACAGGAAATGAACCAGGATAGGCAGGCACGATCAGGTCTTGGGAGCCTTGATTGCCAAGCTAACAAATTGGAGCTGTAGCCAATAACCTGGGAATGACCATCACTCAAAGATCTTAGGCAAGGGATCCAGCAATGCAATCTAGTATAGCACAGTGGTGGAGACAGTATACAGTACTGGAGCTTAAGGGAGAGTTTCGGGTCGGAGGTTCATATTTGGGAATCATTAATGCATGATATTGTTGTGGCAAGCTGGTTGAGTAAAAAGAGGAAAGAGTCAGTGATAAACACATTGTAAACATCGATGTTTAAGAGAACTCCAAGGAAGAGTATCCAGGTTGAAAACTAAATGATAAAAGAGGTAGAATAACCAAGGAAGATGAGAAGTTATTATCATGTAACCTAATAAATAAACCATAGGGCCAATGTCTGTAGCATCATCAAAGCTATCTAGAATAATTTTTACATGTATTTATTTATCCATTCATAAAATACTGAGTTCCTACTGTGTGGCATTATGCTAAGTACTGGGTATTCAGTAGTGAACAAAACATACTGTCACTATCTTTACAGAGCTTACACTGTATTTTATCCACAGGAATATAAATAAGAATGTAGCACCTAAAGTAAAACACGTACAAGCTGAAATTGTTTTGGCTATTACTATATCAAAATGAATTTAAGTTAAAGTTGTCATCTTTGTTGCACTTTTTTAAAGTTTCAAAGGATTAACTCTGTCCTTTGTTTTAAAAAAAGAAATGTTTTCTTTTACTCTCTTTTTTTAGAATATTTCTGAGTCTTTACATAAAATGGCTGAACATAATCTCTTGCTTCATTTGAAAAAATTAGAAAAAGAAGGAATGATATGTAAGTATACTTACAAATTTTAATTCTTTTATTGCCAGCATTTAATTTTTTTTTACATATGAACTAGTTTTCTTTAGGAAAAATAACACCCATCAGAGTCTCCCCTTGATTATCACTGGAGAGATGGGCACTAGGAAGAGTCAGTATTGAAAGGCCAATGGACCACAAGTGGGAACCAAACACTCCCACAGGAACTGGAATCTTGCTTAGTGGTTCCAGTCCTTACCCACCAGAATGGCAGTCCAAGGCGCGTAGTGGAAAATAGCTTCTCTTCTCCCAGACCACAAGACCACAAGGAATTTTAAATGTAGAAGATTTGGGAACAGCTAAAGGTTTTAGCAATACTAGATATAGTATACTCAAAACTATTAAAGCAGTAATTCTACAACTGTTTGCTAGTGTTAGGTTAATTTGTCAAATTAAGAATCTTTATAGAAGCTTAATCCTTAAAATCAACTGGTTCAAAGCTTGAATTTTTTGTAGAAGCTTCAGCAATGTTTTTCAAATTATAAACACAATTCCAGCTTTATACTGAGCAACAAAACTATTTTAGCAATGAATGCTTTTTCTAGCTAGAGGATAAAATCCAGTGAATTTGCTTATCTGCTGTTAAATTTAGGCTCTTTAATTTTCTTTCCACAGTTAGCAACACAGATCCTGACAAGAAATGGAAAGCTCATCTTTAGTTTCAGATTAACGGAAATTTCATTGTTTGGTTTTGCTTTGTTTTCAGAGAATGGTATGTTCTCTTACCTATTACTTACAGAGAATATAAGTATATAACATTGAAAATAACCCTTGATATAATTTAAAATAATGCCATCTTTTTTCTCAAATATATAACTTACATTTTACAGCTATAATGTAGAATATTTTATCTAACCTAGCTCTTACAATATTTTACCAAATATTCAGGATCCAACAGTTTATCCACTTCCATCCAGTCCATTAAGTAAAATGATTAGTTTAAAAATAATACAATTTATATAATTTAAACTAGATATTATTCTTTGAGATTGGCTCTCTATTACCAGTGGCCAAAATACTTCTCTAGCTGCTTCAGTAACAGCACAGATTTCTATGTTATCCTTCTTTTCTGCAACCCTCTTCTGTATCTACAGATAATAGCTTTGTTTTCATGTTTGTATTAATTATATCATGATTATGTATCAGTTCTGTAACTCTTTATTATGTTTATTTTCTTACGTTGGTATTCTACAAATGATTCATACACATCAACTTTTGATAATTAAAAAATATTATACTCCCAGTTAAAGTCCTTATATAATAATTATTTCTGTCATCTATGGTACAAACAACTTACTTTCCAAGTTTACATTTTAGTATAAAAATAGTCATCAGCATATATATGAATTATATAAGTCAGGGCATTTTTTATGTGAGCAATATTGTTAAATAGTGTCTAGGTTTTCAGGGTAACCCACCAATGCTTATTTAACCCATAAGGTTGCCCTGGCTCGGTAGCTCAGCTGGTTAGAGTGTCATCCCAGTGTACCAAGGCTGCAGGTTCAGTCCCCACTCAGGGTACGTACAAGAATTAACAAATGAATGCACAAATGAGTGGAACAACAAATTGATGTGTCTCTCTATTCTTTCCTCTCTCTCTCTCTCTAAAATCAATAAATAAACAAAATTAACCCATAAGGTTGCCAAACTACAATACTAAAATGAGCTCAGAATGCTGAGAGTGTACTTTCTTTACTCTCCCCTAAAAATAAGATTTAAAATTTTTTAACTTTCTTTGACATCTCCCCTCTTTTTGCCCCTTTCCCCAAGACCCTAGCATTTTCATACTATTCTAAACTCTTATTCTCATGCCCTAGAGATCTGCTGTGTTCCTGAAACCATCCCTTATTATGAAATAACTGTGAACTCAACAAAAAAACAAGCAACCCAATTCAAAAATGGGTAAAGTATTCAATAGAAACTTCTCCAAAGAAGATATACAAATGGCCAATAAATACATGAAAAGTTGCTCAACATCATAAGTGATTAAGGAAATGCAAATTAAAACTGCAGTGAGCCCTGGCTGGTGTGGCTCAGTGGACTGAGTGTTGGCCTGTGAACCAAAGGATTACTGGTTCAATTCCCAGTCAGAGCACATGCCTGAGTTGCAGGCTAGGTCCACAATAGGGGGTGCATGAGAGGCAGCCACACATTGATGTTTCTCTCCTTCTCTTACTCCCTTCCCTACCCTCTAAAAATAAATAAAATAGAATCTAAAAGTAACAAAAAACAAACCACAATGAAATACCACCTCATGCCCATTCAAGTGACTATTATTTTTTTTTAAAGAAAATACCAAGTGTTAGGGAAGATATGGAGAAATTGAAACCCTTGTGCATTTCTGGTGCAAATGTAAAGTGGTATAGCTTCTATGGAAACACTATGGTGGTTCCTCAAAAAAATTAAAGAGTTACTGTATGATCCAGTAATTGCATTTCTGGGTATATACCCAAAAGAATTGAAAGCAGGGACTTGAGCAGATATTTGTACACCCAGGTTCATGGCAGCATTATTAACAATAGCCAAAAGATGGAAACAACCCAAGTGTCCATTGAAGGATGAATGGACAAATAAAATGTTGTATAGACTACACTGGAATAATATTGAGCCTTACAAAGGAAAGAAATTGACACATGCTTCAATGTGGATGAAACTGAAGACATTACCTTAAGTGATAGAAACCAGTCTCAAAAGGACAAATAAAACCTTATGATTCCACATTTATGAGTTACCCAGAATAATCAAACTCGTAGAGGCAGTAGAAGGGTGGATGCCAGGGGCTGGAAGAAGACAGAAAAGGGGAATTATTGTTCAGTAGTTAAGGAGTTGGAGTTTGGAAGGATGAAAAAAATTTTAGAGATAGATGGTTGTCATGATTATACATACAACAATGTGAATATACTTACTACCACTGAATGGTACAGTTAAAATGGTTAAAATGGTACATTTAAAAACAGTAAGTATAAATATCCTCCCCAACACCAGCACCAAAAAAGAAAAAAATCAGTATTCCCATTCCCTAAATATAGCACATATCAGCAAAATTTAGACAAGAAATCTGATTATATGAATGTTTAGTTAAGTCTTAACTTGCTTCTCCTCTATTCTTTTCTGTCTCTGAATAAAAACACCATTCAGTGGATCAAGCCAGAAAACCTAATAGTCATTTATGTTAAATCCCCACCTTCATCTCATACCCAATTCTTCATCAAGTACTGACTATTCCATCCCTTGAATTTCTCACTACCTCTTACTCCACCAATCCTCCTTAGTTGAGGCCATCATCCTCTCTTGCCTAGACTACTGCAGTAATTCTTAACTCTGATCTTCCTGCTTCCATTCCTGGAGGGAGTTAGGGAGCAAGGGTGAGAAGGGCATTCTTAATTGAGGAAATCTCATGCACAAAGCCATGATTCCACATCGTTGTTGTTGTTTTTAAGTACCATACCACACTTCAAGCTGCAGGTGGATATATTGGAAGAGAAGTAATAATAGTAAACTATCAAACATTGGTAATTGAAGGTATCTAGGCAGCTGAGCTTAACAAAAACAATGGTATTCATTAAGTATCCGCTTTGTGCTGGGTGCTGGGTCAGGTACTGGAGATACACAAGGGAACAAAACAGCATCTCTGCTCTCAAAAGAAATTTATATTCTAGTTTTGGAGATACATATCCAATATGTGGTGCTATTAAATTTGTTTGGAGTAAAGAAAGAGTATCTAACTTGGTTGGGTTGTAGAAAGCTGCTTAAAGGATCCTGAACTCAATCTTAAAAGATGAGTAAGTGGTAGCCAGGTGAAGAAGTTAGGGATATTGGGAGATGAGAAGAATTGTTCCAGTTGGAATAGTATATGCACATAAACAGAGCTATGGCAGAGCATCACATGGTTAAGAAGTAATATGGCTAACCTATATAGTGTCTGTGGGTTGAAGTCCTAAAGAGGAATCTCATGGGAACACAGAAATCTCACAGGAACCAAGATGCTGACACCCAACCCTGCTTCACACAGGCTGGAGTACACACAATTTAGGAATCATTTTGTTGCCTCCTCATGGCAAGAGTTTGTCCCCAACCATCATGGCGATTTCATTCCTCTTTTTTTTTTATTTTTTATTTCATTTTTCCATTACTATTTAGTCCCCTTATGCCACCCACCGCCCACAATCACCACACAGCCATCCATGTCCATGAATCTTTCCTCTTTTTGTTTCTATCACTGCAGCCATTACTTTGTCCTCCATTCAGTATACCCAGTAGGCCTGGGCTACTCATAAGCTTCTGCTTGCCAACTTACTATATACCCAACAGTTTCTATGTTCTTGGCATCACCTCTGCCTTCTCTATATACATCTTCAGCTTCTGTTTTGCAACAACTGAGTAGTCCTCTGTGTGTCTTAGATTCTGATATCCTCACTGGAGAGGACCTGGTTGGTGTAATTAATCAGTTGGGACCAGAAGGGTCACAGGAAACTATTAGGAGGGTATCCCATTCAGAGGCAGTGGGCAGGATAAGCAGCCTGACATTTGGCCTTTTCAATACGGTGAGGGAAGGAAAAGGGAAGAAGCAGAGGGGTCTCAAAGGTAGAAGACAGGGTAGCATGTAAGAGAAATATTTTAGGAAAGGAATAGCACTTAAAAACTGATAAGATCTTGAGAGGTGGGGATGAGGTGGAAAGGGAGAAGTCTAGTAGAACAATATTTCTGGCTTACACAGTTGAGTAGATGTGTTGACCTGATCACCAGGATGAAAGAATACAGGAAATGGGGTGAGTAGAGTGAGGAAAAGAGGAAAGAAGCATTGAATTACAGATAGGAGTCTGGAGTACCAGGAACATCCAGAGGGAGATACCTACTAGGCACTTAGATATATGGAGCTGGAGCTAAATAAATAGGATATATTTTGTTGCAGGTGACAGAAGCTTAGTTTCAACTATCTTAAGCAAAAGGGAATGTTGGGTGGCACCCAATCTGAGAAGGATGAAGGTGGAGCCAGGCTGAAGACTTTCAAAGCATTTGCCCATTTCGTGATGGATAATTTATGAGCACACCTGCTGACACCTGTGCTGAGTGTTGAGCAGTTTTTGGCCATAAATGGCATGACTCCCATCCCCTACTCTCACTATTCACCCAACCTTGCCCCAAGCAACTTTTTTTTTGTTTCCCCAATGAAAAAGTCCTCAGAGGGAAACCGGCAATGTGGAAGAAGTGAAACAAAAAACAGCAGAAGCACTGATGGTGGTCCTAAAACAGCTCTAGCTGAGCAACTGAAACAATGATCAGTGAATAGAGAATTATTCCAATAAAAAAATGAGGCAGTTATTAATTCCAAAAAACAAAGGCTATTCAATGAAGGAAATAATTATGAAATGCCATCTGCATCTGCGTTTTTACTTTGGCAATAATGTAAACGCTTGACTAAAATTTGTGTTATAACAGGAAAGGAAGTGGGAGGTTGAGAATGCTAAATCATCACCTATGATAGGCAGTCAATGAAGTCTAAACTTGACAAATAAATAAAAGTATATGCATCTTAGTGGTTAATCCCAGGAAAAATTTTATCTTAAAAAGAGAGACATCAGTGGATTGAGCGTGGGCTGCGAACCAAAGCATCGCAGGTTCAATTCCCAGTCAGAGTACATACCTGGGTTGTGGGCCACATCCCCAGTGGGGACCATGTGAGAGGCAACCACACATTGATGTTTCTCTCTCTCTCTTTCTCCCTCCCTTCCTCTCTCTAAAAAATAAATAAATAAATAAATAAATAAATAAATAAATAAATATATAAATAAATAAAAATCTTAAAAAATATATATTTTTTAAAAAAGAGACAAAGAGGAAGTGTTTTTTCCTGTTGGTAGTAGTAAATTTATTTAATTAGGTGCATTTTATTAGTTTGATATAAATGAAACACTTTAATGTCAAAAATACTGATATTATGGAGACTTCCAGTCAAGATAGAGGCATAGGTAAACACGCTTCACCTCCACACACAACTGCAGCAAAAACTTCACCTAGACTACAAAACAATTATCACCCACAACCATTAGAAAATTGAGTTGTACGGAAGTCCAAAGACCAAGGATTTAAAAAAGCCACATTCATCCAGATGGGTAGGAGAGGCAGAGACGTGGAGAGGTGGTGAAATGGGTGACCCCACATTCCCAAGTGGTGGATAAAAACTGGGAGGGATAACTCCAGGACCAAGCAATCTCAGCCCAAGAACAGACAACCCAGCCCAGG